TCATCATCATCATCATCATCATCATCATCATCATCATCAACAGCAACAACTGAAGCAGCAGCAGAAACAACAGCAACAGAAAGAACAACGATAGCCTATCAACACTATCACTACCATTACCAACTTCAACATTGACGTCAGCACCAAGAACAGAAATACCAACAACTATAACAACTACGGTACCAATAACGATTACACAAATATTTTTCTTTTTTGGTCAAAATTATTATGGCAAAATAATATTACTTTCCCCACTCTCAGTACCGTTAAAAGGAGCAATTTTTTCGGTCCTCTTAACGAGTTGTCTTCAAAGTGATATATGAAATGAAAGCAAATCACCACGATAGCAAAGTTCCATTATATTAATATTACGCCTCCTCATAGACGCACGTTCTATAAAAGACCCTTTAGTGAAGTCATAAATCATAAATAATTGGTTAGGGCAAAACTTTGTGAAGAACTCAGACGACAGGAAGAAAGGCCATATCGATAAACGAAGCAGTCACCGATTTCCTTTACCTCATATTATAAGGGTTGTTGCATAAAATGTAGGGCAATTTGTTCAGCTAAATAAAAGAAGGCCACATTTGAATAGCTTTCTGAACACATGAAGACATATATATATTTATCCCGTTCTCATGATTTGAACCACTATACAGAAATTCCGGTGCATAAACTATGAACGATACTTACGCTATACAGTCATCCAACTTTTACAGTACAGTGGAAAAAATACGCTCCTGAAAAGTACCGCAATCGACGCTAACGCAAGGGAGCGTCTTCTCTTTCGAACTGAAAGAGTAAGAGTATTTAACAGAGAATATCGTTGGACTAACACTAGAGTCTACCCCTTTCACCTCCCCTCCCTCCCTCTCTCCCTGCCCCGAATCCTGTCTCTACAACGAGAACCCGGACCTTGGCAGAAAAGAATAGCGAGAAAACAAAAGTTCCAGTGGTAGGTTTTAAGCCCCCCGTTAGTGACTCTCTCTCTCTCTCTCTCTCTCTCTCT